GTAGTGTACACGCATGCGCACATAGGCAATTCTTTTTTAAAACCGCCTCCGTAGCGGCAGAATGGATCTGCAGGTTCACAGTGCCAAATCCGTTCTGCACGCGCTCCCCCGTGTTCAGACATCTGGCCATGCACAATGAATGCGCGGGGAAACAAAAACACCACTTCGGAGGTGGTGGCTTTTTAACCTGGCTCCAAGTCACCCTCTGACAGGGTGAGTACGCCCGGGGAACACCTGACAGATGTGGCTGTGTGATCATGCCATTTCATCCATTTGTAAAATGTGCCTATATTGGGCCAAACTGCCAGTCTGAACACAACCAATATCTGGTGATCTAATTTTTTTTTTAACACCCTAAGAGATACCGGCTCAAGATCCACCAGTGCCAAAATGTCCCTGAGACAATGAAGGACAGTTTTTGCCTGACTTAACCAGTGTCACAACAGACATTTGTAAGAGAGCCTATTTAACAAGCAAGATTGATACAAGAGCTGTACAGAACTTTTGAGTGACACCGCATTGCATCCCTTTGGAGCCAAAGCAGTTCACAACTAGATGGGCAATACCCAGGGATCATATTATCTGGCAGAGAGACGCAGCTGCCTTCTGTGTGCAAAGGGGCAAGCATCTGACAGGGAAAACAAGATTACCCAAGTATTCTGGGGCAAGGAATAAGGAACACAAGAATTTGAGAAAGGATTTGGAGACAAGAGAGATAATGAGCCCAAGAGAGGGGTCTGATGGGAAAGCGAGGGAGATTTCCACTACACCAGTCAGTCAGCAAGAGAACTGACACAATTAAAGATGTTGCCAGTCTTCCAAGGGCAAAAATTCAACATTTCTTTAGGAATTTTTTGCTGCTACTAACACTTGCCTGGCTCCGGCAGTATGCTAGGTACAGACTCCAGGAGAACAGCTGGGTTAATCTTGGCATAAGCTTCCGTGGGCTAGAGCCCAATGTGTCAGCCAGACATCTGACAAAGTGTCTACTACAATATATTTGTTAGTCTTAAAGTTACTGCATAACTATTAGCAGTTTGGGCTGCAACTACAGACCAGCAAGGATACTCCTCTAGAATCCTTGAGGGAACGCACACATAACTTTTGTTAAAGAACCTAGGGCGGATCACGTCTTCTTCCAGCTTAAGTGGTTTTTCCTCCAATGGCAGAGCCACTTAATGTGAAGGGAGGCTCCTTACACTAGAAGGTTTCACACTTGAGCCCAAAAGGAGAGGTGGGTTATAAATATTTTAATAAGCAAATATTGTTCAGCGGAGTGGTAGGAAAGCGGTAGGATCCACCCCACTCTGGCCTTCTCATCACCACCATCAAAAAGTGACATGCCCGTGTGAATGAACCATTCCTGGTCAATATTACTGATTGAATTTTTGCATTGTTTCAACAGACAAGGCCTTCCCGTGGATTCCATTTGCACATTTAGCAGAGAGTCCTGGAGGACCAATTCACATACTATCATTTCTCAGGGACTGCAGCATTGTCATGACTTGCGTGCACCAAATGAGTCATTGCAGGTCAGTTGCTAGGGATTGCATTTGAATACCATTCAATGTCACTGGTCTTCAGTGGGTGAGTCAGGACCCCAAACTGGATCATAATCCAATTTAAAATGAGTCAGCAGCTCCATTTTCTTGCTTTTTGTTGTAAGAGACATAAGGTGGCCAGATGCTAAGGAGGAAAGGCCCTGGGCACATGTAATAGCTGCGCAAAAGAGTGGATGACAGCAGGGCATAGTTAATCTCTACCTTGATCACATTTTGTCTTCCTTGGATCTTTTAAGGGTACTGGAGACCTATCCCCCTACTTCACCTGGTTACATCAGAGAGAAAAAACAAGACCCACTTGTGGTTGTTCAAGCTATGTGGCAGGTTGTGATTCACAGGTCTGAAAAGGTTGAAAATGACAGCTGTATGTCAACTTAGGGGGCAACTCACACATCCTCCAATCCCACACATATCCTGTCAAGAGATGCGGCTTGGGAGTTCTGTGCTTGGAACCTAATGCCCAGGAGAGCAGGGCCACATTCAGCTCAGGACCACAGTGCACAGAGAGAGGGGGCTGAAGTCTTCCCCCTCCCAGACACTATTTTCCCTATCGGAAATTGCTCCAGGGAGCAGCATTTTGCCCCATCTTGAGTAACCCATCAGTATACTAAGTTTCTCTGGTGGGGCATAGAGCAACTTCCCCAGGTGGTTTCAGGTTGGAAAACATTAGGGGGCAGTGGCTTAAGCCCCCTTTTCCTGCATGCCACTGTCCAATCTAAACTGAGCCTGAGTGTACCTGGGAATTAAGTTCCAAGCACAGGACTTCCAGAGAACATCTGGACAACAAATCTGGGGCAGTTACAGGGTGGACATGAGGACTTTATGAAGTGTGAATTAGCCCTTTTGAAGACAGTACTTTGCAATGGAAACAGCTGAAACCAAAACCTTTCAAGGACTCCCAAAAAAACACTGCAGTGTGCAGAGAAGAGAAACAGGGTGAGGAATGCAGCTGATTGTCTCTGGTGACCCAAAAGGATTGAATCTCTTCTCTGGGAAAGAGATTGGGGGGAGGGACTCTGAGGTCCCTGTGTGAGTCTCTGTGTCTCCCCCACAAGACGCTTGAAACAATATCAAAGCCCTGCAAGTGGTGATCGCAGAGCTGAAGAAGGGTAAATAATGCAGAACAACCTGTTTCAGTGTTTTAACATGGCACACTTACGAGATTGATTCCAAAAGAAACAAAACAAGTTTAAATCACCCCTGACTCAGGGGAAATTCCTTGGACCACAGCAGAGGAGGACCGCTGCAGCTGCGGTTCTGCTGCCAGAGTTACAAAGAGGGCATATGTCCAGTAGAGTTGATTTGTCTGTCAATAGTTCACAGATGCTAACTTCAGCATTCCAGGAAGGAAGGCTCATCTTCGCAATTCAAAACACCTTGCAATGCCAAGAAATAGTAGACTAAGTGAAGCGCTTTTGCATCCTTTTAGAACACCACCCCCTAAGAAGGAACACCACCACTTCTCTCTCTCTCTCCAAATGTTCAGAATTTTTATTAAACCTAAATGAGAAAACAATTGGTTCTGCAGAGTATATAACAATCCATGGAAATAGAAAATAGGGTCTACCTGTACCAGATCTTGTATAAGGAAAAATGATTACCAGGGGTGGGTGGCAGGCTGCTTCAGATATCTGAATTTCAGAGACACCCCAAAGATTCGGTACAGATGGGGATGTCGTTAAAAATAAAAAGTACTGAGAAAACCCAACTGCTAAAACAAGTCAGGACAAATAGGTTTACTGCACTGACCCATGGGTTGAGCATCTGGGCCAAACTTATGCCTGGTATTGAGTGGCAATGCTTAAGAGAACTTATGCCTACCTCCTATTTCAGTGCTGTGCTATGATCTACAGCCTGGTTGTACAGACTAGAGGCAAAGCCAAACCAAGGTGCAAGGGGCACCATCTTTTAGAGCAACACATTCCCATGCTCTAGACTTGATCTGTGGTGCAGTTATTGAAAAGCAACCAGCTATTGAATTATCTGATGGGAAGATGCACATACATACACGATGTGCACACCACCCAGGAACAATATTGTAGCTCCTGGAAATGGTGTGTCAACAAGTATGTGCCTCTTTCATTCAAAACAAAGGCATAAAGTGCAAAGCATCCCTCCATGGTGGTGGGGAAAGCACTCTGCAGCTCCCCTCCTACAACCAATAAGGCGCAGAACAAGCCTTGTTTCCAGGCCCACATCTGAAACCGTTTTGAAGGCACAGTGCTGGGGAGCCCTAGCACAAAATTAACCACTGTAACTACTGGGGTTATCTGAAGCCAATCTATCTCGCCTCAGTCAAATCACAATGCTGAGAAATAAAAAAGGAGCAACTTGATATTCTGCTAAAACATAAATGCAGAGTAGGCCAAAGTAACACCTGAGAGGCCTGGATAAAATTTTGATTGTTTAATTTTTAAGCAATAGTGGCTGGATCGACAGAAAGTGGAGGACGGTGGGAGGGAGACCACTTGGCAGTCTTGGCCCAGTGAAGAGCGGCCAGACATCAGTCCAGTAACGCCCAAGACAACCATCTTGGACAGCTTAAACCCATCCTACTGCAAGTCTTGAGGCTTTCTCGGGTGGATATAGGTGTTCAGCCCTGAGGATTCAATGCATGCAGGGTGCAGGCATGGGGGGAGGGGGGGCACCAGCACTGAAGATGTCAGTTATACAATTAATGGTCATCCAAAAGCAGCTTTGAAAACACAACCAGATGTGAATGGCAACAGAGATAGTTGTTGGGGGGCGAATTTCTTTTACGTCAAAGGCCCATCTCCTCAGCCATCCAGGAAACAGTTTGTTAAGTAGGAAGCCATGCTTAAGTTATTGGGGTGTCTGAGGCAGAAGCCAAGTCAAAAGGCTGAATCAGGCAACTGTCTGAAGGATCCCACAGATCTAACCATATCAGATCACTCTCTTCATTGGGGTCACCAGATTCAAACTATGACTGGGTCATTGTCACCTGAAGACCTGTGCTTCTATCAATGATCCCGGAATCTTTCCGCATCTTTTGCTAATAAGTGCAGCCTTCTGCTAGCTTTCAGATCAGATGGTGGCTGATATTTTTTTAAATGCTTGACTATGAAGAGTGGGGAAGTATACCCATTTTGCCCACTAGGCAAGCATCTCACAGTGGTTTGGGCTTAGCACGCTGCATGGCTACATGTTTCAGGCAGCGTAAAACCAGCCATATTGTGCTTTTTAAAACATTTATGAAATCAAGCTTCCAGCTCCGGTGCTTGGACAGGGGAAAAAAATTAAGACATGCCAACATAAGTCTCTTAAAGGTCAAAATCCGTAGAGGACTGGAGTGGGGGGGGGGCAGAACTTCCAGGGGTTGGAGTCTGAGGGTTGTGTGTGCATACAGATACATTCTGTATCCTGCACAGCAACTATTGGCAGAGATGCTGAACCTCCAACCTCCGAGTACTTCATACTCTCTCCCTTCTTCCTTGCCAGCTGCTGTCCCAGTTTATCCTTTTTTTAAAAAAGCAAAATCCCAAAACAGCAAACTGTAAAAGTGGAAACTGTACACTCCAAGCACCAAACTTACTGCAGAATTTTGTCTTCTCTGAGTTAAACACAAACCAAGACGGGGCTCCTTCAAAGCTCAGCGCATCACTCTCCCCAAATTGGCTCAAGGAGGAGGGCGACAGCCCATGAAAGATGCCAGAGTGCTCCCAGTTCAGACTCCAGCACAGTTCAGTGAGGATCCTGGTTAAGCTCTCATCTTGTTGCACGAGCACCAAGAATATACTACGGGTTTTCAGAGAGAACTGCAGACACTATCCACTAAGGTTAAAAATCTGTACAAGGGAGCTTCAGCAAAAGGCCGCCCCTCTCTGCCTGCAGGGGGAAGCATCATTCACACAGCACTCCCAAGGAGGGCCAGCTGGGGAAAAGAACAATGCTGTGATGCCCTTTTGCCTTGCGAGGAGAATACAAGTTACAGTCAATACAAACACTTAAAAAAGCTAAAAGATATATCACAGCTGTGTGTTATACAAAGATTATTAAAAACTACCAGGTACTAAGCTAAAGAGCATCATGCCGGACTCCTCAGACAGCGAAAAGCCAAAATCCGCTGCATGTCAAGAAGGTCCCGATCCAGGTGGCAACCAGGCACAGGTTGCAGCTGCAGTCCTCAAATGGGTTCCACTGAGTTTGAGCTGGCTCAGACCGAAAGGGCTGGCTCACTTCCTACAGCTCCTCGAAGAAGGCCACGCGGGACTTTGTGCTTTGTAAGGTGAGCTGAGGGAGGGGGAAGAAAAAGAAAGACACAAGCGTCAAGTCAACAGGGTGCTGGGGTCTCCTCACTTGCTGTTCAGTTTATCCTAGGAGAAGGTGGCCCTGTCAGCAGCAAACAGGCCCCTGTGCTTGCCAGAGTCTGTAAAGAATGGGAAGCGTTTGGGGCCTCTCTTCATCATGCCTCCCTTTCACGTAGCTCAGGGCATTACTATTGATAACAGTGTTCACATACATTCACGCAGTAATCCTTACGAAACCACGGAAGCCCATACCGGAGAGAGACATAGAGGGTGAAACAGAGTAGCTTGCCCAAGGCCACCGTGGTAGGAGTGAAATCTGAACTGCAGTCTTTCTAGTTCACAGATCAATTGCTTAGCCAGAGTGCTACAGTACCTCTTGCTGTATAAAATACAGAAGAGAAGTTATTGACCTGTCCTCCTCTTCTCTGAGAGTAGAAAGTCTGTTGCACAGAGGACAGGGACAGGGCTAGTACCTTGGCTGATCCCCAGACTACAGACCATCAGTGCACACCCATTCCTCCAAGGGCTCCCCAGACAAGGAGATATGTATGTATGACCGGACACCAACAAAGAATGCAGCAATTCAGAAGTAGTCTTCTCTGCTCTAATCTGAAAGCCTGATAAACACTGAGTGACTTTGCCTCTCATTTCCTCATCAAGCTAGAAAATCAGAGTCATTCGCCTCTAATGTGGTTCTGGGTCATAAGGCAGCCACCAAGTGTTAAATGACCTTTGTAGAACCTCCAGTGCCATCAAGTGGGCTTGGATCTCTCAGAGTGTATTTGCCACCCCTGGCTTCTTCTGTGTCTGACTTATCTGGCTGTCTAAGAGAAAATGAGTCAAGGAAGGAAGGAAGGAAGGAAGGAAGGAAGGAAGGAAGGAATTTTCAGGGGAGCCGCTGTGGCTCAGTGGTAGAACATCTGCTTGGCATGCAGAAGGTCCCAGGTTCAGTTCCCAGCATCTCCAGTAAAATATGTATGATAATGGAGAGGGGATGACAAGAGAACACATTTCCACAGGGATTTTAACAGGAATACCAGAAAATCTGACTTGTAAAGCCGCTCTCCAACCGGCACACAAAGTGGGCTGACTGTCTCAGCCTCCGATGCACACGGACAGCCACCTATTCTGCCCCTCTCCTCTTTTAGTCATGCAGGAGCAGTGGCCTCCACACATGGACCCTGCAAGGGAGACTCCTCAGCCCTGCTCTGCTCATTAAGACAGCCCAAATAAGCTGGTTTGTTTTTTTCTGGCCCTGATCTACCAGCAATTCCTCCAAAGTGAAGAAGGAAGATGCCACTGCCACCTTGCATGGGAGGGTGTCATTTGTCTGGACCCAGTGACATCTCCAGATAGATTCCCCACCCACCCCAGCAGAGAACATCACAATTAACCTTTCCTGCAATTAACTCTTCCTATACTAGCTCCCCAAGAAGACTGGAGGCAACCAAGATCCCTTGTGCTCACCTCCAACCTTCCTGGCTGCCCAACAGAAATGGAAAAATATGAGACTGTTCTCCTCTCCACTCCCCCGCCAAGTTCGCAGATCTTTTAGCTCTGTGATCCCTGCCATGGCAGTCATAGATATATTTCCTGGTGCCCACTTGCTTCTTGGGGACCAAAATCCAAATGGTCTTGAATGGAGCAGAAACAAAAGTCAGCTTTGGGCTGTTTCCTTTTATTGGACCCCATGGACCACATCACGCCAGGCCCTCCTGTCTTCCGTCGTGCTCCAGAGTTTGCTTAATTTCATGTCTGTTGCCTCGATAACTCTGTCCAACCATCTCATCCTTTGTCGTCCCCACAGCTGGCTTGGACACAGTTACAGACCTAAGTTCCAGATTGGTAAATCTCTCATGGAGAGCAAACTCTCCTTATTCTCTGGAAACCAAAACCAAACAGCCTCTCTTCCTCTAAGCAAAGAGCAGGTTCCAGTCCTCCTCTGGCTCCCCAATGCAGGAAGTGCTGCTGCTTTGGAAGAGGCAAGGAGGCATCACACTTGTTTCCGCAAGAAGTGCCCCTTCAGTTGCAGCTGCCTCCATGGTGGGTCAACAAGGAGCACCACCTGAAACTGCCACTCTCCGCCATTAACACCCCTCCTTCCCTGCAGCGCTTAAACTCTTGCCCAAGAGCCACAGCATTTAATAGTTCTCCCCCAGATGTTTTAAAAATGCAGCAGAACACGGCTGCCATTTTGTGGCTGTGCCTTTTCCCCAAACCCCAGAAATACCATCAGGCTTAATAAGGTTGGGGGCTCCTGTTTCACAATGATAAGAACTAGTGTAAATGGATGAACTGTTGCGTATGTCCCCACCTCCCCAAAAGATACCTACCCTGCTGCATGCCAAGAAGCTCAGAAGTGGGAGCCTTACACGGTGAAAAAGCCCTGCTTATTTGCCACTACTCAGCAAACAAGAAAGGAGAAGGTTGCCAATAATAGAATCGACTAAACATACAAAAGCAACCTTGAAGAATATATACAAAATCTGTTTTTTACAAAAATATGTATAGTGATATAAGATAAGCTATCATGTGAAGTGCAAATAAAGTACAAAGTGCGTAGTTACAATGAAAGACATACAATTACAAGCGGGACATAAACCCTGCTGCATACAATCTTAAATGCAATGCATACAATAAAGACGTCTTCATGCTCTGAGGGACTTATCTTCTGCTGTTTAAGAGAATAGTTTTTTCTGTTCTTACAGCATAAAGAAGATGGTTCGCTCAGTCCCTTTAAGACTGTATGCAGCAGGGTTTATGTCCCCCTTGTAATTGTATGTCTTTCAATGTAACTATGCACTTTGTACTTTATTTGCACTTTTGTTGTTGTTGTTGTTCAGTCGCACAGTTGAGTCCGACTCTTCGCGACCCCATGGACCACATTACGTCAGGCCTTCCTGTTTTCCGCCGTCCTCCGGAGTTTGCTCAATTTCATGTTCGTTGCATCAGTAACACTGTCTAACCACCTCATCCTTTGCTGTCCCCTTCTTCAATCTTTCCCAGCATCAGGGTCTTCTCCAGTGAATGCTCCCTTCTCATTTGGTGGGCAAAGTATTTGAGCTTGAGCTTCAGTATCTGGCCTTCCAGGGAATAGTCTGGGTTGATTTCCTTTAGGATTCACTGATTTGATCTCCGTGCAGTCCAAGGGACTCTCAAGAGTCTTCTCCAGCACCATAATTCAAAAGCATCTATTCTTTGGCGCTTGGCCTTCCTTGTGATCCAACTCTCGTAGCCATACTGGGAATACCATTGCTTTAACCATACAGACTTTTGTTAGCAGGGTGATGTCTCTACTTTTAATTATACTGTCTAGGTTTGCCATAGCTTTCCTCCCAAGGAGCAGGTGTCTTTTAATTTCATGCCTGCAGTCACCGTCTGCAGTGAACTTGGATCCCAGGAACATGAAGTCTGTCACTGCTTCCATGACTTTGCACTTTACATGATAACTTATCTTATAATGCTATAAATATTTCTGTAAATACCAGATTTTGTTTATATTCTTTAAGGTTGCTTTTGTATATTTGGTTGATTCTATTTGCCAATACTGGCTGGCTCTTGCTAAGGAGTCCCCAGGCTAAGAACCACCAATGAAACAGTCCTCAGTCAAATTTAGGGAGCTGAATATCCTTATGGAATGTTCTCAGATGGTGGACGGAGAGACACTATGAGGAAATTACACATTTCCCAGAAGTCCCATTGACTTGTTTCTCTCTCATACATACACGCACCTTCCCAGTATCATGAAGCTGCACAAGAAAAGGACTAGTCCAGTCAAGACGTGCATGGGAAGGACATAGCAACAAGATGGCGCCTACTTGTGTTTTCCTAAAAGATGTACCTTACTCTTCAAATATCATGTCTTTGTGTCAAAGACCCCACTCTTACTAGTTTAACAGAACTGAATCAACAGCCAAATACAGTATCTTAAGGAGCTGGAAGGATTTCAGCACTCTGATTAACTGCAGAACCCTCTCTGGTGAGTGGACCGAGTAATGTAACTTGGTGCACTTCTGCTGAAAGCATCTTTTTAAAAAGGGTCTGTCTTCCACTGACCATACCCCTTTAGGGGCAGGGAAGAGTGAACAGTACAAGACTGCCCAACTGTGAGGATTCTGCTTCAGGTTGTCTGGGGTAGACTTTGCTAGATCTGGATTTCTGAAGGTGTCATGCTTGCTTTTCCACCAATAACTAATTAATTATGTTTTTATTCTGTCCCATCCCCAAGGGCAAGTGGCTATGCTTACTACCCAATAAAATAAGATACCAACTGAAATGCAGCTTAATAAAATGACGTCATGCCTGGTTAACTCCAGCTAATGACAGCTCCCCAAGCACACATGGAAGGCATCCAAACCCAACTGTGAGGGAGCCCAAAGGAGGGAATTCCATAACTGTGAGCCAACTGCCTCCTATCCAAACCCCACTGCATGGCCCCAGTACATGGACAGAGTCCACAAGATGTCTGCCAGTAATCCCAAAGCTGAAAGACTAGAAATCAGGAGCTGCCAGGGCTGGCTTGCTCTTGTATGGTGAAATCAGGTTTACCCACCATGGGCTCCAAAATACATCAAACCTTATTTTAAGATATAACTATACACAAAGGGAGGCTATACACAAAAAAGGGTTGCTATACACAAAAAAGTGCATTACAGTCTGCCATTTTTCTTGGCCATGTTTCTAGAACTTGCAGCTACGTGGGAAATCTTAGAGAACTGAATGCAAGGAGGTCCTGATACCAAATTCTGCACACTCTAAGGCTGCTTAAAATCCCGATGAAGTGAAGTCAATGGGATGGCATCCAAAAAACCTCTGGAACTGTATTTGTAGCGGCAGTCCAGACCAGAGACTGACAACACAGGGCTGGGAACTGCGTCTGAACCATCAGCTCTTCCCCAACCCCACACTTTAGCCCTTCCATGGGATAACCCAAACAAAGGCCAATAGTTCTGCAGAAAGAGGGAAGTGGTAACAGGAGCTGTT